GCTGGAACCTTGATCAAATATAAACAGCAAAATTTTTTTCCATGAGAATTTTGAAGCTTAACAATCACTAATCAAATAAAAAGGCTACGAAATTCTTAGGTGAACAAAACATACAAATGCCGAAACTCTGACGCCAACGAACAGCCACAAAATTTAAGGCGCGCTAAAGAGCTCCTAACAGATATTTCCAAGAAAACGGTGGTTGGTTGAATATTTGAAAGTCATGATGTGTAATCTCAGAGCTTCTTTGTCATTTATAACTATATACACGGGCCTTCAGCTCTGCAACTTCGAATTGATGCACGAGAAACTTAACGCGCTTGTTTAGTTTACCATAAACATGGAAACTCTGTACTCTGCTTTTGAGTGACACCCTAAGGTATTGAGCTCACAAGCCAAAAGCTAGTAGTTCATCCCTTCATTGCATTTTCTCGTGAGTCAGACTCTGAATAGGTGCGTACATAGTTGCCGCGCGCGAAGTACCTGTTTAGATTGTCGCCTTAATCGAAACTGTCTTATGTAAATAATGCCATAACACCACTAATACATATCTTCAACAGCGTCGAACCATATGTCATCTACCAAATTAAAACAATCTCTTGGAGGTAGTCGATCTTCAGCGATAATCATGAAATATTGCAACAGAACCCGCTCGATCAGTAGCTCGACAATGTTTGGTTAAAAATCACCGCGCGCACTTTTAAGTTCCGGACAGGTACTTTAATTTCTAAAACAGGCAAAAATTCTGGCGCCTGCTTTCTGGAAATCAATTAGTAAGTTAAGTGAACAGAATCTGTTGCAGACAGTGCGCTTGTACTCATCGCCTTTCTTAGCCAAAGGTGGACAAAACGGTTAGAAGTTCCAAAGTAGGCAGACGGCTTTTATTCCCGAGAGGATCTCCCTTTACAAGAAGGCTCCGCCCGAAAAGGGGTACCTTTTTCAGGCTTCAGGTATATGAAAAGATGTGATTTTACTGGTTGAAGTATACAAAAAGGGTAGGGAAATATGTCATTTCGGCCTGTAAAAAGGCCCAAAAGGGCTTACAGATGCATTATATACCTGTGAAAAAGTCGAGAAAACGTTCTGGTGTTGGGATTTAGCGCATTTGTAGCAATTAAAAGGGATGCAAAGTTCTAGGTATGTGAAAGGGGTACTATTTTTCAATAGAAAGGTATACGAAAGGGATTCCTTTTCTGTCAAAAATAGCATATAAAAGGATAGGAGGTTGGACCTCGGGGCGGAGACTCCCCGTATTAAACTTTGTCGAGTATCCTCCCCTAAGGCATTTTATGACGATAACTCATCATCCCTAAGTATTCGTTAGGAGACGATTAGGACTAAGAAAGGGAGAATTATTCAGGTATTCCATGACGCAACGCGGATCAACTACATTATCAAATGAGATTGCTCACGTGACCCTTCACTTGCCATGGAATTGCTTGACGAGGACTGGTCGATGATCGCCTTATTGCCGCTTGTTTATGTCTAGTGTTTGGATTTAGGTTATCAAGTGTACATTAATCCACCAAATTTAGCTTGATGAAGGTTTCTAAGAGTATTGGACCGGAGTGCATAAGTTTTCCCAAAAAATCACGAGAGCGACGAGATGTGTGTTTTTGTGCGCTCGGATCTGCCAAGCTGAAAGATCGTGAGGACAAGCCTTCCCAGTGGAAATCAAAGTAAAGTCGAAGTACACTCACAAGGTTAGTATAAATACAGTATCAAATCCACTCTTTTGCTGCCTGGTTTTAAGATCGATCGGTCTTCATGGAAGAAATATTGGCCCGCCCACCTCAGGAAACGGAGCTAACAGTTTGCGCAAGTTTGTTTTGATCATCAATTATTTTTAATTTCACTCCTTTCCAGGTACAAATGTTCTTTAACTGTGATATTTTGTTATTCCACCCAGACTGTATTCTTGGGTTGCACGTGACGTCACCAAAAATCAAACTAAGAAACTATCGATTCTTCTGAGTTTCTACTTTCACTAGGTATTACAGTACCTAAACACCTTTACATAAACAAATTTTTGGTTCGAAGGGGTTCTTCGTTTTGTGAGAAAGGACGCTTGAATTTCCAGGCTTTTGCGTGACGCGGCATTTAGCTGGCGGCCGGGAAAGCTCTTATGTGGGTTAAAAACATTACCGATTTTGGGAGATTT